GCCACTGCCATGGGAGAATCCCAAAGGGAATGAGGAAAACTGGGACATGAAACCATGATTAATGAGCCGGTTTAAGCTGGAATCATCAAGGGTATGTCAAGTGGCCATACCGAGCAGTTTTAAAGATTTTGCACATTTTAGGTAATTTAATTAAATACCTGAGCTTAATCAGTGTTTGATAACAGAATCACATAATAACTGACGTTGCAAAGACCTCTGGAGACCCAGCCAGGCTGCCCAGGTCCATGTCCAATTGGGATTTGACGCTCCCTGAGGATGGAAACTCCACAAACACCCTGAGCAACTTGTGCCAGTGCTTCCCACGCTCACAGGAAAAGGTATTTTTCTCATGGCCAGTGTTTCAGTTTGTGTCCTTTGCCTTGTGTCCTGGCCCTGGGCACCACTGGGATGAGCTGGGCTCTGCTGCCTTTGCTGTCCCCTCTCAAGGGCTACAGACACTGATAAACAAATATATAAATATACACATGACACATCCATTGATAAGGCCATGGTGACTGGGACAGGTGTGTGAGGCTGGGGAGCCAATGTCACCCATCCCTTCAGGCAGGGCAAGGAGGAGGAACGACAGGGACAGCCCCTCCTTGGTTCCTGGGAAGCAGCTATCCCTGGAAACCCCTCCTGAGCAAGGACAAGGTGTTTGGGAGGCAGGCTGCTGGATTTAAGGCAGGGAAAGCAGGCTTAACCAGTGTCTCCATGGTGAGAATGCTGGCTCAGTGAGGAGCACAGAGAGCAGATGCAGGGACTGTACAGATCACCTCATCCCACCCCTTGCCATGAGCTTTCCACTGTCCCAGGCTGCTCCAAACCCCATCCAGCCTGGCCTTGGACACTGAAGGGATCCAGGGGCAGCCACAGCTGCTCTGGGCACCTTGACAGGGAAGAGCTTCATCCCAATATCCCATCTAAACCCAGTGAGAAGCCACTCCCCTTTGTCCCACACACATCTCCCACAGCTCAGGACAAGCAGAGACTTTAATTCTGCTTTAAGAGGCCCAGCTCAGACAGTGCCCAGCACTCCTGCAGCAAGGCTGGACACTCTCACTCAAGGAATCCATTTAGCACGGCTGACACCACTGCCCTGGAGCAGAGACTGACTGGGGCAGCTCCCACTGCCCCTCCTGCGGAGGAACCGCTCCCAGCGCCCAGCTCAGCTCCCCCTGGACACCCCATCTGCTCATGGATTCAGCAAATCCTTCCTAAATCTCTTCCAGGTTAGTGGGCTTGGTTCAAACCACCAATTTGAGCTGTTTAAGCTCATCCTGCCAGCTCTTCCCACAGCCAATTAGCGGGTGCTGACACAAGCAGGGAGCGGGAGACCAGAAACACGCTCGGAAAGGAACGGGCTGGGCTACAAGGATGTTTATCTGCAGCTTAAATCCTTGTGTGCTCTGCAGGGCTGCCCTCAGCACTGCTGAACCGGGCACTGCTGCAACACCTCTCCAACCAACAGATCCCAGGGCACCCCGAGTTCTGACAGCAGCAGCATCTCCAGCAATGCCACTGTCTCAGACGAGGATTTATTTTGAAGGGAACACAGGGAGCAGTTTTCTAGGAGTTGAGGAGGCATCTGGCTTTGGAGGCAGGGAGCAAACGTGCAGCTAAAAGCCATGAACACAGGGATGATGGACTTTTCCTATGTCAACAAGCAACTAGCACTTCCCATGGTGCAAAACCCTTCCTGTCTTGACGCAGCACAAACCTGCCCAACTCCTGGCAGCACTGCTGGAACCGTTCACTTTTGGTACAAGATCATCACACAACCACCCGAGCAAGTGGGGGAACATCCCCGCAGCCGGCACCCCCGCCATGGGGTGATGCTCTCCATCCCCCCTGGGCTCCTCCCCATGCCCGGGCACGGTGGCCC